TTTCATTTGGCAAACTTTTTTATTTAGCTTTAAAACTTGTATAATGATGACTTGTTTGAAATAATTCGCTATATAAAAAATCTGATGTGTCCAACACATGACTTTCCTATCTACTTATTACAGGCTTTTTTCGGGTATTTTGTACAACCTATTGTAGCACCTCTGTAAATATTTAAAAATTATTATACATTTTCCACATACATCTAACTCGAAACATTTTTCTATATACACTCATTGCCAACGAAAATGCTGAAAAATTTAAATTTTATACTTTTCCTCCAATTTTTCCATTACAGTCCATTTCATTTAAAAAAAATTATAGAGATCGATATCGCAAACATCTTTTAGTTTAACAATTTTCTTAAAAATCAGAATTTTTTACATTTTTAAAAATTTCTCGAATACGGTCCATTTTAGGAAAATTTTGTATAGAATAAAAATTATAGAAAATAAATAATATTGGAAGTAATTTTATTTAAATAATTTTCTTCTCCAAATGTTAATAACACATATATTTTAAAAATGACCTCCTATAAAGTACCCCCCAGATGTTCAGACTCTGCCCAAAATCTAATCAGTTCACCTAAGGTCGGAATAAAGCATAAGTTTAAAATTTAAGGTTTTTTTCTTTATCATTTTTTGAGTTTTCTTCAAAATTCAAAATTTACACTTTTTCACAAATATCTCGAAAACGGTCCATTTTAAAGAAATTATGTATAGAACAAGAATTATATAACAAATGAGTTTTATTTGAACAATTTTCTTAAACATGTGTAATTTTACATTTTATAAAATTTCTCGAATACGGACCATTTTAGGAAAATTCTGGGATTCGAATCCTTTTTGAGGATCCGAGAGGGAATTCAAATACTTAAAAAAAAAGAATCCGTGGTCCGGATTCGCCGAGGAAATCCTAAAGGATTCGTATTCGAAGCTTATATTATTCAACGTCATCTTGTATCAACCTTTTTTATACAATATGCATCCGTTCGTGCGTGCGTGCGTGCGTGCGTGCGAGCGTGCGTGCGTGCGTGCGTGCGTGTGTGTGTGTGTGTGTGTGTGTGTGTGTGTGTGTGTGTGTGTGTGTGTGTGTGTGTGTGTGTGTGTGTGTGTGTGTGTGTGTGTGTTTGTGTGTGTGTGTGTGTGTGTCGCATAACTCATGAACCAATACACAGAAAAACACCAAATTTTTAACTTAAGCTTTGTTCCAGCGTCCAATGAAATGATTAGATTTTGAGCAGAGTCGGAACATCTGGGGGTACTTTATAGGTGGTCATTTTTATATTTTATGGAATATATCTGTTATTTATGTTTGGGGAAGAAAATTCTTCAAATAATTTTTGTTCTATACAAAAGTTCCTAAAATTGTCCGTATTCGAGAAATTTGACAAAATGTAAAAAATCTTTTTTTATAAAAATTGTTCAATTAAAAATTGTTTGTAATATAATTCTCTATAATTTTTGTCCTATACATAATTTCTCTAAAATGGACCGTATTCGAGAAATTTGAGAAAATTTTAAATTTCGAAATTTGAATAAAACTCAAAAACGGATAAAAAAACATTAAATTTTAAACTTAAGTTTTATTTCGGCCTGACTTGAAATGATTAGATTTTGGACAAAGTCGTAACATCTGGGGGGTACTTTATGAGAGGCCATTTTTATATTTTATGGAATATATCTGTTATTTATGTTTGGAGAAAAAAATTGTTCAAATAAAAGTTACTTCAAATATTATTATCTATAATTTTTGATTTATGTCAAAATTTCCTGAAATGGTCAGTATTCGAGAAATTTGACAAAATGTGCAAAATTCTGATTTTTATGAAAATTGTTGAACTAAATGTTGTTTGCGATATCGATCTCTATAATTTTTGTTTATACATGATTTTTCTAAAATGGACCGTAATGAAAAAACGGTCCTGTTTTTTCGTAAAAAGGATTCGGACATGGGATCCGTGATTCGAATTACATCTATTGATTCGGATTCGTGATTCGAATCTATTTTTTGAGGATTCGTCCCTGCTCTGAAAAATTTCTGGATTACTTCAAGCTGCAAATTTGATAAAAATTCAAAAATTTCTAATGCACACGTATCATTGATTAGAACATTATATTTGGTATACTTGTCCAAATATATACTACATATGTAATACCATTATTACACTTTATTGAGCACAATTTTAAAGAGTAAATCACCAAAAATTAGACAAAATACCACTCTTTTATCAGCCGATACGAATAATTATTTACACTCGTCTGTTTATTGTTAAATATTGTATTCTGTATCAGCGGCTGACCTAAATGTATCAACATAATTATTATCGTTCTACTTAGTTTAAGAAAACACTATTGTGCAAGTATCTACGACTTTTACTTGGCCAAATTTTTTTATAGTTTCAATATCTATAACTTAAAGAACTTCTTGCTTTATCCAATTAATGGCCTGTTCTTATACACAATAAAAAATTGTCAATCTAATTCCATATTTTAAACTAATATTAGCCAGTAAACATAATACGTTACGTGGGTCAGTCAGTCAGAGTTTTTTTTAATATGCCTTTATTAAAATATGCAATATGTCGTCAAAAAGAGAAATATTATGAACACACCAATTATCCTTGCCAATTTTTCATCTAATAATATAATTAGGTTCTTGGAACGTTATATTCTACCGTCCCGACAACAAGCACAAAAATATATTCACATTTCTGACTACAAAGGCCCTGGAGATTAACTTGTCATCGTAGGATTCTTCCTTAATTATATTTTAATTATTAAAAGGACAGTTTTCATAATATAAACCAACGCGAGCAGGACCGTTGTATTAGTGAGAAATTTTAGATGAGAAAATTTGCTTTCATTACATTTCGGCTTTAAGAAATTACTGCAAACGAAGCTAGAGATAATTTTTCAAAAATATTGTCACAGTTTAATTAAAATGGATGATGTTTGTTTGAATTACTGTAAGATTATACATACAAAATGAGTAAATATAAAGCTTTGTCATGTGAGAGCGCCATATGTACAAGTTTTCACTAATATAAAACTAATTTAAATAAGGGGCCATAGATTAACAACCCAAAAATGAAACAGAGCTAATGTAATTTATGCAATGTACTTTCGATGAATACTTCATGCTCGCATGCACTAATTTTCTCAAAGTATTGCTATGATGGCCCTAAAGGTAAGAAATATCCGTCCCGTCTACTTCAAAGTATCGATTTGTTACTTTCCTTTTTGTCTTTTTGATTTATTTTGTGATTAAGCTATCCGGAGAATTGTCATGAGATGTTTATTTTATATACAGAGTGGCCCAAAAGTCTGGAAACGGCCAATTATCTCGTAAATTGCTAGTCCTAATTGTACAAAATTTGGGGTACACCTATTTTGGGATACGCTGATTCCAGATTTGATATTTGCAATGTTGCCAGATTTGCCGTTTCTCTTAAAATATTAGTCATTTTGGTTTTTCAAATTAATCACCCTGTATATGCAGTCATTATTGGAATCTCCTATTCAATACGAGTTCAACCATATGTAACACTTATGATTTTACGTAGTCTGGAAGGTCTTAAATAAATAAAATAAGTCTGGCAACGCCTAATTGTCTCAATAAATTTTTTAATACAAACTATTTTCAGCTACATTAAAACATAACAATTGAAATATTATAAAATTTTTAACATAGTGTTCAAAATGTGCTTCATTTGTGAGTTGACAGTACCCTAATCGATCGTAGAATGCGTCTACCACATTTCTCCATGATTGTTTTATTTATTTAAGACCTTCCAGACTACATAAAATCATAAGTGTTACATATGGTTATTAGCAAATCAGAGATTTCTTGCTTTTTCCATTTAGTGTTAGGTAACGGTTCCTTTAATCTTGAATGGTAATTGGCATTGTCTATAACTATTACGGAATTGGTCGATGATAAATCTATCATTTAACTGAAATATTCCTCAAAAACATCAGCAGTCATTTCTTCATGGTGGTCTTTCGTAGAATTAGAAACAAATTCTAACAAGCCTCTATCAACAAATCTTTTATCTTCTCCAATATGAGTGATAATTAAACGGCGACCTTTACTATTTGCTACTAAACAAACCTTCTAAAAATGTCTGACGAACATTTGTAACCTTGCCAAACTTTTTTTTACGAAACGTCTTTCATTTATCCATGTTTCATCCAAATATTAAATATTTTTGTATTCTCTTCTTAATTTTCTAATTTCCCTTAAATATTGCTTCCTTCAATAAATAATTTTATCTTTCTCTATGAGCGTAGATTTTCTATCGTTCTTCTCCCAAACGAAGTCTAATTCATGTAGAGTTTTCCATAATTTGTCTCTTTTAACTTTTGGCAAAGTTTCGTCTCCACTAATGTCTACTAAAAGTTTAATCAAAGTAGATATCTTTGTTTTGTAATTAAAACGAATACATTTTTCTTCGGATCAGTTGTTTCAGAGGTTCCCAAACTCTTTTGTTTCATAGATCACTTTCAAAATTTTTCTGGATCCGGTGATACATCACTACTAATTTCTAAATCTCGAGGGTTAGAATTGATTGTTTGATAGGGTTAATTATTTGATAATAAAGTCGACTAAACAAATTTTCAATTAAATTTTAATTGATTTTGCTATGAGTGAATGTCGAAAAAGCAAAGTTGGCCATTGGCAAACTTTACTTTTTTTAAATCTACAGTAACTCACAGCACAAGAACCAATCAATTCTCACAAATTTTAATTAGAAAACGTCCCATTCGGAGTGGTAAAAAAAAATAGTATATTTCCTTGTGTTGTAGGTATTTATTTAAATTTAAATATAAACGTTATTACACTATTAATTATTATTGTTATAACCATCGTAATATAATTAAAATTAAACACTTATAACGTAATGTAATTTCTACAATGGTAATTACAAAAAAAATATAATTATCAATATTTGGCTTGAGTTTTGTAAGGAATAACCGTAAATCTCCCCTTTCTGTGATACTCAATCTGCTCCTTTTTTTTTTAATAAGTTTGTAACGGCACTAACACTTTTTTTGACGAGATATGACGAGGGAAACACTATCAGATGCTTTTGCACAATTCCCCACAGTCCAGGATATTTTTCGGATATTTCTGCCTGCAGCCAAATTTTTTGATACCCTCTTTTAAATGTCACTTTCAGCTCCTCATTAATGCTAAGCCCGAGTAGCTCCTCTTGTAATATCACATTCTCCAATTCCGTTTCATTTATGATCCATGGTGCTATTTCCATCGACAGAATATCTTTAATTCAGAATTTAAAATCATCATGCAGGGTAATCAAATGTTGAACGTATGTCTTCATCGAGGCATTCTACCTGCGACAAGTTTGAAAACTGTGAAAATTCGCTCCGACCAATATTTTCCTTCATAAATTTCAATTTACCAAGAAGAGCTGAAATTACACTCTTTGTTTTTATTAAATTGAGGCTGTCCCGTTGTAATTGTAAGTTGAGGTCATTAAATCTGTCAAATACGCGATATCTGCTTTAAAACTGATCAAGTTTTTTTTTTAAATCAGGATCTCTGCTTTCCAAAAACTCTAAAACTGAGTCAAAAAGTAAATAAAATCTTGATAAACATGCACCTTTTGACAACCAGCGTACTTCGGTATGTAACAGCAATCGTTGGAAGTCTTCATCATTTTCATCGCACAATTGTGCAAATAAACGCATATATAATGCATTGCTTCTTATTTTGTTAACTGCATTAATCACAATTTGAGGCGATTGGTGTTCTCTATCACTCAAATTTTTCTGTACTAGATGTTGTCGGTGGATAACACAGTGAATCACAATTACCTCTAGTATAATTCTTTTAAGATATCGCCCGACCATAGCAGGAGCTCCATCTGTTGCCACCGAAATAACCTTTGTGATGGAATCCATTTTTCTTTAAAAAAATCACTCAAAACATTAAATATTGATTTACCTTTAGAGTCCGTCTTCAAAGTTTTCTCAAATAGTAGCTCTTCATGAATTTCTTCGCCCATAACAAATCAAACATATGCCAATAATAATGCTTCATTGCCAGGTAAAGTTGACTCGTTCAGTTGAATAGAAAAATGAGTTGTTCGTAGATAATCACACAAGAAACTTTCAGCATCAGAGCTCATTTCATCAATACGTCTTTGTACAGTGTTGTTACTTAAGGTTTATATGGACCCTCGGAAAAATTAACCATGTGTTCAAAAAATTTGAAAAAAATCATGAATATGTATATTGCTGCATGTAATATTATATCAAAATATGGTTAAAATCCTATACATTTTAAGGGTGCAAATATTAAAAAAACTCACTTTTTTTTCAATTGTAAACAAACGAGGTATATTTTTTACGTTTTCTATATATAAAATAAGTAAGCATAATATAAGAAACATTGATGAATTTTTTCAAAATTTTTGAACGTGTGAATTTAACACAATCATAAAAAAACAAATAATAATGTATATAATAAAGAAAGTATTAGGTTTTTGAGTGTAATCTATAAGAAAATATATAGAAGAGTATCATTACTAAATATCTGTGGTATTACTTTGAACAGTTCGTTAAAAACACTCCAAAAAATGAGAAAAACTCTAACTAAAATTTGAATTTCCTCCATTCATTGTTGTTCCCTAGTCACTGCTGCCATCTCTTATTGATTTGTACTTCTGTCAACAGATGGCGGTAGGACGACCATTTTTGTAGACGCCATGTTCAGTCCAACTGCAGGTATTTAATAAGGTGTTGCCAGATTACCGTTGTTTTTGTTAAATCTTCTTACTTTGGCAATGTTTTAAATTATGGATTTTACTTTAACTTAAGAGGAGTATTTATTTGGCTTTAGAGCAGAGCATGCAAGGGTTTGGTAGTACCCCACTTTTAAAGTTTATTTTTGACATATTTTAAAAGAAAAAAATATGTGCATGTAGGTAAAGGTTAAATATGTGCTCCTCTGGAAACACTTTTTCAAAATTTCAATCTGTTTTTTTCTAAAAAAAAAAACACAAAACTCGACTTTTTTAATCCATTTTCTCAATTTTTTTAAGAAAAAACAAAATTGAATTTTGAAAAAGTAATTCCAGAGGAGCATAGATTTAACCTTTATCTACACGTACATATTTTTTTTCTTTTAAAAATACTCAAAAATGAACTTTAAAAGTGGGGTACTACGAAACCCTTACATTGCAAGATTTTTCGTCTGGCAAGTGGCGCATCTGTTAGATTTTTAAGAAATTAATATATGTGAATGAAAATAATTTACAAAATATTTTACTGATGTTTTACGAGGGATAATTAAAGTTTACGTATTTGTAGGTACACCTTATTGTTTTACGTAAATCATTTCTGTAATACTAATATAGACATATTTATATTATAATATGCAATGGGTTTCATAGTACACCAATTTTACGAATTATTTTTTATTTTTTGAAAATTTATGTAAGTACAGGTAAAGGAGTCACTTTTTGAACATTTGAATCGGTTTATTTTAAGAAAATTTAAGAAGATATCTTTCTATCGAAATAAAAAAAAAAGAAATGCTAGAAGGGAACAATATATGTTGTTTTTAATTTTTGCAGGAACATTTACTTTTCTCAATAAAAATTAAAAAAATACGTTAAAATCTTTTTCGTCTAGAGGGCGACACCAACAAAATGTATATCCTTTTCTACTTTTTACAAGTGATAAACGTACGTAAGTGATTTGAATTTATTTTGTTTTATGTCTAGACACTTTGTTATTTTTACATACAATTATTTTAAATTAATTTTATCATTTGTTTATTAAAAAAATATATCCGAAATTAAAAGGTATACAATGAGATTTGAATTATAAATTAACTTTTATATTGCACGGGAGTTTTTTTTTTTAATGAATGCATCTTCGAGTTAAGAATAATGAATTCCAGCATGTTAACAACTCTTTAAGCTGTTAAAGTGATGTATATTTTTTCGAACTTAGTAAATCTTTTTTTTTTGCTTTCGAGAGTGGCTTTGATCTCGCAGTTTCGTGCGTAAAAGTGCATCTTCTAGCACTTGTTGCGATAACTACTATTTTGGTCCAATGCACAATAAAATCTTTGTAGTGAGTAATTGTTTATACTTATTTAAAAAAAATTTCAGCCCTTCAAATTTTTTTTTAAAAAGTAATTTTTTAAATATAATTTTATCATTTAACAAAAAGGAAGGCCCTAATGAAAAACGTAGTATAGCTCTGTTTCTCTCTACGTGTCGGCTGACAGCCTCTTACATGTCTCTAACAGTAAATGGGTATCTCGGCACCTCTACAAATAAGAGTTTATTGGGAAATATTTTAGAGCAATATGACCCACAATGACTTACCTGCACTTAGGGATCTTGCAAAACATCAGCAATATTTCAGTTATTTCCTGTTATTTTCAGACAAAATAAATCGACCGCCTCCACTCCCCTCACTCCTCTCATACTCGTAAAATTTTAACACAAAACAACAAGACATGCAGTTAACGCAAATCTTACCGGCCCTACTCCCCTCACTGCTAGAGAACTAGAAAGATGAGTCACCCGTCATAGGAATGAAATAATAAAAGGGTTCGCTAATTACATAAATATATTTTATGAACGAAAATGTCCATTTCGTTTTGCAGAAACTCGTAACTTGGACTACTTATCACTTTCCTATTCACGCCGATGTAGACGGACCAAATACATATCATAAGATCTGCTGAACGCTTTATTTACTAAAGAATAATTAGAAGAAATTAGAAGAAAAAAAATCGTTTGTCTGCTGTTTTTAAATTAAATAGGTACCTACTACAATTCCACTTCCCTGAACCAGTATAGGCTACTCTTAAACTATACATATTATTTTTTTTATATTTTCTTTTTGACCGGGCAAGGTCAAAAATATCCCTTCTAGATAGCAATACTCCCTGATAATTAAAATACACGTGATTATTAGCGATTTGTTTATAGATAACATATATGTATAAATTTTATATTTACAACTTTAAATAAATAAGAAAATAGCTAATAAATGTTTATTGATAATTTAAGTACATAATTTTTGAAAAAGTATAAGTATGACACATTTGCAAAAAATATATAAATTGACTAACATAGATTATCAAAAAAATAATATTAGCAGAGTACTAAAAAACACAAATGGAGTTACATAAATTAATAAGTTATTATCTAAAAAACATTCAATGCTCTTCTAAATTTGTTTTATATTATTTTGTCCATTTTTATATTTACTCGTAGTGATTTTATGAAGTAGTAAAGCCATTCGTTCGATCACCATTCTACTGTTAAATCATGGATAATTTTTTTAATACATTTTTTATTCATAAAACTGAATAAAGATAAAGAATGACGTACATGTGACGTACTATTACCGTCTTAAAAAATGTTGCTACAATAACTCCTAATTGGCATATTCCGCGCGTGCCTGCTATCAACAAGTTCAACTCCATATTGCGTATAATAAAAACTGTGAAGTTTTTTTAGCATGGAATTTGCGAACGATTCATCATATTTTATTGTTTCTATATGGACTCCTCTCGGTGTCCAAATAATGAAGTCGCAAAACTTGCGTTTGCAAATATGGAGTTGCCCTTGAATTTGATAATAATAATTGTGACTTTTTTTGAGCGACATACTTTTTCCATCTTTATTTACATTACAGTAAACATTTTTTAATTGATTAGCAGCATCTAGTGGTGTATATTCTCGAGCGGAATAAGGACATTTGACTTCAATTATTTTATCGTCATTCACTAAACCATCGGGAGAAGCTCCGAAGAAACCAAAACCCTTGTCCACACACACAAAAAAACCGCATTGAATAACACTATTTTTTGTTTGACGTACATAGGCTTCAATTGCTACTGATTCATTTATTTTTCCGTATTCCAGAGCTTTTAGCCGTGGTAAAGGTTTGTATAGAATTGAATGAACCAGCTTGCCATGATTAATTCTTCTTTTGCAAATTTCACCAAAGGTTGATGCTGTAAGACGAGATTGTCTCTCCTCAAACCATTTAGGATTTTCTGTTTGGCCTCTAGTCGACTTCTCAATTTCTACAGCAGTTTCAGGAGTGACTTGTAACGCCTGAATTTGCTGTTTAATTAATGCCTGAATTTCTATGTTTGGCAAATCAGGTTTTTGGCACTGAAGGCCATAATCTGTCAGTTTGCTATTCGATATTTTAGTACAGTTTTTAAATAATCTTCTTTTTGGACGATTAATGTCTCTAACTTTTAATCTTTTCTGTACTAAACGTTTTAAGGTCACTGATGGAGTTTTACCAAATTTCTTTCTGTATACTTTAAGAAAGCAACTTGGACCGAATTGATACGCTAAAGCAGCACCATAGCATCTTATGTTAAAACTATTCCTTCGTCCATAAAATGTCTGCTTTGCGCTATTAAATTTAGCTACTTGACGCATAAATTGTTCCGCTTTATTACTAGTCGAATCTGTAATGAGACTCTCTGATTTTGCAGAAAAATTTCCGACAATTCTTAATATTCGGAGTCGTGTTTCTGTGGGTGCTTTCCTAAATATATTTTCTGAATTAGTCTCACCACTTTTTATACAGAATTCTGTTCTACAATTTGTGTGTTCCCCAAAAACATGATCCGTAACGTTACGAAGATCAGATTGTAATTCTTGTACAGAAGAGTTTGGTTTCCTCGCATGTAAAGATATGAGTTTTCTACATGATTTTCCAATAAAAGAAATTCTAGAGCTGGAAAGTATTTTTCGATTTAGTGCTGATTCTTTGGCTAATTCATGAAGATGTTTTGTTAAATTTTTGGTGAGGTGATTAGCACATTCTATTTTTTTTATCTTACGAGAATAAGGGACATTTTCCAAAATTTTTGTATGCACACTCGAATCACCATCACCAATAAAGGTTGTGTACTGGAGGTTGTGCATTTTTTCACTTTTTAGAAAACCTTCAACTATTATATCCGCTTCCATGGCTGGCGACGATCCACTCCAATTCTTGTAGCATGTGTGTGTTGGGGCTTTCAAGTGTTTACGCTGTGCTATAGCGCAAATGCAACAATATTTGTTGCGTATTCCTACAAATAATAATTTTTTTGTATGAGCACCAATTATGCAAGCTACTCCAGAATTAGACGTATATTTGTGTCCATAGGACCGGTGACTCCACCCACCGTCGACTATAACACAACATTGTCCTATTTTTTTGTCATTCAATATATTTTTTGTTTCAACTGCCCATTGATATTCTTCTTTTCCAGCATCTTGAATAGAATCAGTCAAACAATCAAACCATGAATCTCCTATTTCATTTTGATATTTTTGGAAGGTCTTCAAATCTAAAGGTCGAATATTCAAAAGCGAGAGACTTTCCTCTAACGAATAGTGACCTTTTCCAGTTGATAACGTTCCCCAAGTTGCCAAAAGATTAATGTTGCCATCGGTTTGTTCATTATTTGTTGTAATGGATTTTTGAAGACCACATGCTAGGCATTTAAAAAATAGTTTTGAATTAAGACCTACATGAACTTCCCTATCATAGGCCAAATATCCAGTCTTCTTAACATGACACTCATGACTTTCAAGAGATCTTACTTGAGCTACAAAATGACTTATATTAACAATTCTTCTTCCAGATATATTCTTTAAGTTGGGATCGTATGAACCGGCTAAACGAACTCTCTCGATTTCTAAATCTGGTAAACTATCATCAGTATCTGACGAATCTCTTCTTTTCCTTGGTGTATTACAACTAAAGGCAATGTTTATTTTCCTGAAAAATGTATTAAAATTATAATTTTGAATATGTTAAAAAATAGTGGGTGTAGTTCGTTATTTATGAGGATAGTGGTTGAAATAAACGTGTACTAAATATTAAAAATATACACAGGGTAGCTGTTAAAGATGGAACCAAACCTATAGTGCTTAAACGGTTGAACGTACAAAACTCAAAATTTCAGAATTTCAACTAAATATATTTGCGCATATTTTAGCTCAAAAATTATTTTTTTATAATTACAAAATCATGGCCGCCATCTTGATTTTTTTAAATAGTAACATAGGTCATGTGATATACCATTTGAAAGGGTTTAACACCCTGATTACAAAAATGTATGTATTTGACGTCTTGTGTCAAATGCACAGCCTCCTACGCTCCCTATTAATAATATCTTTTTGTTGTGTTTAGACCCCATGTGTGATACTATAACTCTAAATCAGTTATTTTGTTCCTAGTTTTTTTTTAATACTAATTACTATTAATATGAATTTTTCTGGTCCGTCGGTTATAAAGACAGCTAAATACTTATTAAAAAATATTCTCTATCCCCCTTGAACTTATTTCCGTTTCCCAGTGAAACACCCTGTATAATAATATTAATTTTTGTTTCTCATAATTTGGTTATTAATCAGTCAGTGACATCCAAAAAATATAGACTATTCGTACTTACTTAGTATCAGAGGATATCTTTTCACAATCGTCAGGAAGATTCAAAGTACTTGCCAGAGATCTAAAAGAAATAAGTCTATTACAATAATATAAAAGATATTAAATTCACAACAAAATTATTATCTAAAACTCTAAATCAGTTGTTTTGTTCCTTTTTTTTTAATACTAAATAATAATAATATAATTTTCTGGTCTATTAGTTATAAAGACAGCAAAATACTTATTAAAAAATATTCCCTATTCCCCTTCAACTTATTTCCGTTTCCCAGTGAAAATAATATTAATAATTAAAAAAAGTGTGTTTCTTATAATTTTGTTATTAATCAGTCAGTGGCATCCAAAAAATATAAACTAATCGCACTTACTTAGTATCAGATGATATCTTTTCACAATCGTCAGGAAGATCCAAAGTACTTGCAAGAGATCTGAAAGAAATAAATTTATTTAAATAATATAAAAAATGTTAAAGTCACAATAAAATTATTACCTATAACTCTAAATCAGTTATTTTGTTCCTAGTTTTTTTTTTTTAATACTAATTACTATTAATATGAATTTTTCTGGCCCGTTGGTTATAAAGACAGCTAAATACTTATTAAAAAATATTCTCTATTCCCCTTGAACTTATTTCCGTTTCCCAGTGAAACACCCTGTATAATAATATTAATTATTACAAAAAGTTTGTTTCTCATAATTTGGTTATTAATCAGTCAGTGACATCCAAAAAATATAGACTATTCGTACTTACTTAGTATCAGAGGATATCTTTTCACAATCGTCAGGAAGATTCAAAGTACTTGCCAGAGATCTAAAAGAAATAAGTCTATTACAATAATATAAAAAATATTAAATTCACAACAAAATTATTATCTAAAACTCTAAATCAGTTGTTTTGTTCCTTTTTTTTTTTAATACTAAATAATAATAATATAAATTTTCTGGTCTATTAGTTATAAAGGCAGCAAATTACTTATTAAAAAATATTCCCTATTCCCCTTCAACTTATTTCCGTTTCCCAGTGAAACACCCTGTATAATAATATTAATAATTACAAAAAGTGTGTTTCTTATAATTTTGTTATTAATCAGCCAGTGGCATCCAAAAAATATATACTAATCGCACTTACTTAGTATCAGGGGATATCTTTTCACAGTCAGGAAGATTCAAAGTACTTGCCACAGATCTGTAAAAAATAAGTTAATTACAATAATATGAAAAATATTAAATTCACATCCAAATTATTACCTAAAACTCTAAATTAGTTATTTTGTGCTTAAGTTTTTTAGTAACTATTACTTAATATGAATTTTCACGTAATCGAAATAAAATTTTATTTACAATGGGCCCGTTCACTTTCATTTTTGAATGTGAATTATTTATATATTTATAAAGATATTAAACTCTTTTGTCTGGTGGTACTTTTCCCGTTAAAATATTTTTGCTAGAAGTAAGGGAATTCCCATAAAATTCTTTCAGTGACTCATTGCGTCAGAAAACCCCTAATTCCCTTCAGGTGTTGTATCGGTTAATAGTTAAAAGGGCGCGGTTGTCGGATGTATCATTGCACCACCATTCCTCTTCTGCATTTATTAAAGAAATTTAAATGATAAAAAAATATTATTTTTTAAAAATAATGTGTTTATATTTTCAGATAAAGCTGGAAGGCTTACCTTTTTTAAATTTTAATAAAAACAATTAGTATTACTCAAGCTGAATATTACCAGATCCAAATTTTATTTGAGAAAATGTATCTGGTAAACGTGACAACGTTGTAAGTACTTCTAAATAGTGTTGTCTACACACACTTCTAGAAATAAATGCAACGTTGCCACGTTTACCAGATAAATATTGCAAATCAAATTTCTACTTTTTGATTATGGTCTGGTTAATTTTCAGCCTGAGTAATAATAATTGTTTTAATTAAAAAGTAAAAAATAAGCTCCCAGCTTTAAATCTGAAAATATAAGTTCATGATTTTTAGAAAAATAATGGAATTTTACTATTTAAATTACATATAAATGCAGAAATGCTATATTAGGGATACTTCCGACAACCTCGCCGTCTTTAAGCATAACCGATACGAGACGTGAACGGAATTAGGGATTTTCTGACGCAATGAGTCACTGAAAGAATTTTATGGGAATTCCCTTACTTCTAGCAAAAATATCTTTACGGGAAAAGTACCACCAGACAAAAGAGTTTAATATCTTTATAAATATATAATCAATTCACATTCAAAAATGAAAGTGAACGGGCCCATTAGGTCGTACAACTCTGATTTCAGATGCTATATGATCCCTATTATATGATCAATTCTTCAAATTTTATTAAGGCAACATTATCAAAATGATTGTTTTTACTATTAGATTTAAAACTAACTAATAAAAAAACGGGTATGCACTTACCTTATAAAATTCCATCCTCTTTTATTTTTAAGTTTGGGAGGCATATTAAAAAATTATATATTTTAATTTTAAAACACGATCACAAATAAATACCACTATTCCCAATCAATGAATCAATGCTATACGTACAATGCATAAACCTATCGCCTACCGATAAATATATAAGTGTATCGTAATATGACAACACTGAAGAGTGCGCAATTCTTCTGCAAATAAAACGTGATGGCTCCACCTAACAAATGGAAGCGGAACTAAGAATATAATCTACAACTGCAGGTTACTTTGTTGCAAGATCATTCGTTTTCATCGAATACACTAATGCCATCTAACGAGTCAGAAACCGCTTAGTAGGAGGGTCCATATAAACCTTAAAGGAATTCTTTTGAGTAGGTCAAATGAAGATTTGTGCAGAACAGTTTTTAAAACCTCTTCAACAGCAGGTAAAATTAACTGTTCTCCAATGGTGTGCGGTTTTCCAGATTTTGCGATAAGTAATGAGATATTGTAAGATGCGCGCAAGCCATCATCGTTGCTTTCAGACGTTGAAGAGAACATACTGTGCACGGTGGGTCTCTTTTCATATTTTTCCTTTAATGTTTAGAAATATTTCAAATCTTTACCTATTTTATTAGGTTGACACCTTCATAGATGATCTTCCAGCTTTGATGGTTTCATAGAGTCATTGCTTAAAACTTTGTTGCATAAAAGGCATGTGGGTAATCGTTTGTCTGCTTTTGATGGAAGAAAACCAAATTTTAAATATTCAACAATGTACTGTCGACACTTCTTCTTAGATTCGGCCATGTTTTGTATGAATTACAAACCTGTAAATGTGTGAGTAAATAAATAAAAAAAAACTTTGTTTTAGTAATCTTAAGGCGATTCGAACTTAACAGGATATGGCTATTTTAACATAATATGATTAATCAATTATTATAAATATTATGAAATAAATAAAGTTCCGGTTGCAAACTGTTTCTAATTATTAAAAGCAATAAATCGCTAAGATCCATAATAGAGTTTTATGAAAACGGCTGAACTTATTTTAATGTAATATAAAATTATTTTTTCATTTATTATATGTTAATATATTTCTGTAAATTCTACAGAAACTTTTAAACAATATTTTGATATCAAAACTCCGCAATAATTAAATGAATTAGATAGGCAATAAAAATAAAGTAGGGACGATAAGTTCAATCTTTCTCGGCTTAAAACTATATGTATATAACAAATAGGCAGGTAGATACTTAATTTTGCGACACTGGCAATCACTAATATCAATTCACTTTACTTTTCTTTTCGAAAGTCTGGAAATAAATTCAGTCACTGGCCAACACTAATATCGATTTACTTTTCTTTATGAAATTCCAGAAACAAATGATTATCCTTGACATTCGTATTTATATTGGTGAAGAATCAAACACGTTCATGCAGCACATACACCACAAGTGGTATTAATTTGCACGTCTGAACGAGCGTGCGGACGGGACGGCGGCCGGCGCGGTAACGACAAGTCTGGACGCGTTGTACTGAATATGGAATATGCAAGTTTTTACAAGTAACAAAGTCAAGTCAACATTTTAGTAACTAAAATGTTGACTGTTTATATTATAAACAGTTGAAGTTTTTTACAAGAATTTCTTCATCACATGGAAAAATGAGTAATCAATTGTTTAATAGCATATTGCTTCACTATCGAAACCAAATTAATTTTCATGCACCCCCGCTTACGATTGTGGACTCCCATTTTTTATTACGCTGAACGTAGACCCCTGTCGAGTATCCTGTGGACCCCTGGAGATCCACCTGGACCACTTTGGGAAATGCTGGTCTATTTGAATGGGTTTTCTCCCAGTTGACGTTTTAGGGGCTACTGTAATACTTTCATTCTTTCGTTGCTGCCAAAGTCTATAAATGGTTGCTTCTCAAACCCCGGTCATATTTGAACACTTAGAAACTATACTTCGAATAGTACTATTTAAATGTTCATGTACAAGAGCGTCATGTACATTTAACATTAGTTTTCATAAGCACGGTTAAATTGCACTTTAATTGGACAGGAGTATAATTAGATGTTTGTGCAATTTTTATTGCACAAATTCACTTGATCAATATCGCTTTTTATCGCCTATTATTACAGAACTAACAATTCTGCGTGTTACAATCAGAGTACTATACAAACAGAAATGTAAATCTTAACTAAAATAATTTGCAATCTGCATAACACTTTCTGCCGATTAGAAATTTTAATACTATCTAAGAAAGTTAGGGGCTACTTAAATTGATATTGAATTATAAATATTTTCAACCTGTACAAATTACATACTTTATTTTTGTTAAATAAAATGACTAGAAAATTTATGACAAGAATTGAAATAAATTGGTATATTTTTAGAATAAAACCAAAGATTTTATTTTGGAACAAATAATGCTAAACATTTTATTTTAGAAATTATCCGTCACTGATTTGTGATGTTATATTGGTATTTATCTACTGGATCATAAAAATTTTTCTATCATTAATTTTCAAATAAACTATAGGAAGTTGAAAACAGAAGATAAAAGCTAAATAAAAATGCAATAAAATTAATTTAAAAGTTAAATATTTAGATGAGTTTCAAAGTTAAATGAATCGGCTTAAAATATTATTTCCTTACAAAGTTTTCAAATATCGCCTAACCAGTTTTCTAAAGCTTCTGATATAGATGATGAAAGTAATAAAATATAATTATTTATTAATATTAATCGGAAACTCTCATACAATACCTTTATAGAACCGGTCCTGATCAAGGACTTTCCGACATTTTAGGTGCATAAATGCACCATTCTTATTCCCTTATTAAGTTAATTAAAAAATAGAAGTATTTTAAATGTCCACAGTCGAAAACGGACCATAAAAACTAGGAAACTCGACTATAATCGGATCTTTTTTAATTAAAATTTCCTTTTTGAATACAACGAAAGCAAATAAAACGTAAAGCGGTCTCAAAACTTTTGACTTAAAATTGTAAATAGTCTTTGAACTCGGCGGGCGCTTATTTCATAACGCAAAGTTTTAAGGTCAAGTGCTCCCTAAAAACGATTTTAAAACTTTCGGGATTATAGTCTGCTCCTATTGCTAGTTTGATGTGTTTTTTTCCTCAAGTGAAAGTTGAAGGTTCCGCCATCGTCTTTCCCCAAAGTCCTGACATCTATTTATTTTTTATTAAAATTCCTACACAATTTTTCAGATGTATATAAAGGAATGTATAATAAAAAAAAATTAAAAATAAAAATTAATATAAGCACACATACTCAAATACTAACAATACAGATACTAATAAATATTTAGTATTTGTAGATTTGAAACAATATTGCGTATTCGTGAAACAGAAATAAAAGTCTGGCTAATTGGTTCCTACCACAGCCATTCAACTAATAAAAAAAAGGGAAGGGTTAACCATCGTGAATATAGAAAAATAACACAAATCTGTCCCGTATATAAAGAGGTCCGAAAAACACCTAATATATTTTATCTTTTATTCTTGGATTTTGGGACACTTCTGTCTGTATCTGTAAGAAGAGGAAGATAGGTTATTCTACATTGACTTTAAATTTGATAGCCCATACTTGGCAATAACCAGTAAAAATGCCAATGACTGGGCTGAAAAAGAGATGGCGGCTGCATTGATAGTATCGCTGCGAGGACAGACATCAACCGTTTTATAGGTACTCCTTCAAGGTGAACCCAGTTATTCATCTCTCGTCCAAGCTTTGGAGACAAGATATGGCCAGCAGTATTTAATACGGGCCTTCCAAAGCCAATTAAAAGTTCGTAGCAAGCCCTTCGTCTACAACATTAGAAGATGCTGAGGGAGAAATTGATTGCAGCCCAGGAATATGAAGCGGTAAAACTCCTTTCCAGATCTTCTCGAGCAAGAGTGAGAGAAATTAAATTCCAGAAAAGTGAGGAGACCAATACTAATTCTATGCCCCAACCTACATTCTCACAAATCTTATATATCCTGCAAAACAGCCAAAATGGAAGCAGGAGATGCTTCAATTGCGGAAGAATTGGGTACCTTTAAAGAACCTGTAAAAGCAGTGCTCTTTTATAAATCGAGAATCAGGGAATGCGGCCAGAAAGACACATAGATCAATCTTCCGAAGCCCGTCACGAATTCCAACAAGAAACAGTGACAGCACCTATGCGTTCCGAAGAAGCCAATCACCCACACCGAGCCGGTTTTCTAGCAATAACCAGGAAGTAGAGCATCGAAGAGGTCGTCTCCATAGCAATGCAGACATTCTCTCCGGGCAATCCTGTTTCGAACGATAAAGCTGGTACAGTAAAAGGCTCCAAGAACGAGAAGAACCAGTTGATAAAGTTATTCCTCGGGCAACCATTATCAAGCCAGAGGGCGACGAAGAAGAAATCACCTTTGAAAGCCTGAAAAAGGGGCAGAAGAAAGACACTTCCTTAAAGGTTGTCCTGGGATGGCTCAAAAATAAAGTTGCACCTACTTGGCAAGAGATAGCCAAACACAGTGGACCTATTAAAGGGTACTGGGGTCAGTGGAAGTCCCTGTATCTTAACGAAGGCCTATTGCATCGGAAGTGGGAGAGCCCTGATGGAGTACATTTAGCCTGCTAAGTGGTACTGCCGAAATCACATGTCAGAAGTGTGTTGGAGGAGCTTCATTACAGTCGTTCGAAAGAACATTTTAGTACTAAAAGGACACTGGCACGAGTTCGGGAAAAATTTTATTGGGTAAATTGCCGACGGGATGTAGCGGATTGGTGTAAAAAATGTGATGTATGCAATGGCAGCACAAATGTCTACGGATTCGCTCGGGAACAATTGAAAGTCAAAAGCGATAAAGCAGAAGCTAGAATCGACAGGCGTGCCACAGGGACACATCTTGAGAGAGGCGACCCAGTTTGGCTGTGCAATCCCAAGCACCAAGGAGGACTTTATCAGAAATCGCAACGAAATTGGGAAGGCCCCTACCCCGTCCTAAAGGAAAATCAACGACCTGATCTACCGCATTTAGTTGTCAGC